GGGGGGGGGGGGGGGGGGGGGGGGGGGGGGGGGGGGGGGGGGGGGGGGGGGGGGGGGGGGGGGGGGCATCACGTACAGATTCGACCCAAATCAAGTCCGCCCCAACCCCTACACAGCAGTCCCTCTCTTCATGCAAAACCATTCTTGGTGCTATGATGAATATTGGCGAGCAATTGTTGCCCCCGGAATTCTTAGCAGCCTCCCTCCTCCCCCCACGCATCGAGCTATCCCTCCCAGCCTAGCAAGCCGCCGTTCACCGTGTCCTCGACGAGACACCAATAGACAAGCCTTTTCGAGTAAAAAAACAAGCACACTCAATGGTAGTGTCGCACTCGAACGCGCTCGACACTTCGTCTGAGAGCAAACACCATACAGTCAAGCTTCTTCAATTCGCGTCGTACGCCGTATCCACAGTGGTCTAATCACGCCCCGCCCAACTCATCCCAACATCAAAACTCGAGCTCCTCCAATGTACACCAGCAGCGGTAGAAATGGTAGTGGTGGTGGTGGTCCGCAGAACCGCCAGCGAAGCAAGCAAGGCAAACAAAGCAAGGCAAGCAAAGCAAAGCAAGCAAAGCAAAGCAAAGCAAAGCAAAGCAAAGCAAAGCAAAGCAAAGCAAACAAAAGGGGCGGCACGACAAAAGTCCGCCAGCACCACAAACTATATAATCTAGTCGATGGTGAACCCGGTGAGCTCGAAGCAGATGCACAGCCCCAGGCACTCCTCCAGCTCCTTCTTGCTCTCGTAGGTGGGCAGGTCGAGCTTGTTGAAGCACGTGTGCGCCCGGGGAAAGGCGCTGTCCCTCTTCGTGATGGACTGGAGCGAGAACGCCCGGAAGCTCCCGTCATTGCTCTGCAGTCGAAGGGAAGGGATAGCGGACAAGACAAAGAGTCACAAAGGGCGTGAGCAAAGCCCTGCGGGTACAGAGGGCAAAATTATCATCGCCTGTGTATTTACGGTCGGTACACCGTGGAGCACAACAACGCTCGACAAGACAAAACTATCAGCGGCGAGAGGTGTTGCAATGGCGCGAGAAGCCTGATAGCCTGGAAAGAAGAAAAGAGAATAACCAAAAGGTCTTTGGAGACAGACAGTAGATCTATTCGTCGGTACGACAGCATATGGCAAACCAATCACCGTAGAACAAGGGGTGAAACGTCACAAGAAACACAATTGTTGACCAGCAGATGCCAAACCAACCAGGGCAGGACACAAAGGGAAACATGTCACAAGAATAAAAGTAATCTCGTATCGTACAGCAGTAGGCCCATGTCCTAGCGCCACCCTACCATCCTCGTGAACGACGACGCAGGCGCTCACCGCCACCATAAACCAAAGAGTCAACCAACCCAACCAAAACACTTCCTGACAACCCCTCGCACAACTCCAACCAAAGCAACAGATAATGTTTTTTTTGTTATCTGTTCGGCTTGACCTTTCAGCTCATACTTTTCGGTTAAACCTTTTCGGTTTCACGTTTTCGGTAAATCCTGTCCGGTTCAATCCTTTCGGCCTATCCTGTTCGGTTTCATGGTTTCGCCTTAACTATTCCGGGTTTTTCGGTTAATCTGTTTGACTGAATCTCTTCTGTCCTCTTTGGTTGAACCTTTTCGGGTGGCTCTTCGGTTTAACGTTTTCGGTTAAAACTTTTCGGTTTCATGTTTTCGGCTTTTAACCTTTTCAGCTTTTTCGGTTGAATCTGTTCGGATGAACCTTTGCGGCTTGTACTTTTCGGTTTAATCTTTTCAGTTTCATGGTTTCGGTTAAACCTTTTCGGCCTATCGTTTTCGGTTTTTATGTGTTCGGCTTGATTATTCCGGGTTTTTCGGTTTATCTATTCGGGTTAAAAGTTTCGGCTTACACTTTTCGGTTAAAACTTTTCGGTTGAACCTTTTCGGCTTTTCCATTTCGGTTTCATAGTTTCGCCTGAACTTTCAGGATTTTTCGGTTATCTGTTCGGCTTAACCTTTTCGGCTTATACTCTTCGGTTAAACCTTTTCGATTTCACCTTTTCGGCTTATCCTTTTCGGTTTCATGTTTTCGGCTTAACTTCTCGTTTTTTCAGTTAATCTGTTAGCGAAACCTTTTCATTTTCATGATTTCGCCTTAACTATTCTAGGTTTTTCGGTTAATCTGTTCGGCTGAACCTTTTCGGTTCCGGCTCATACTTTTTGGCTTGAACTTATCGGTTTCACGTTTGGGTTTAACCATTTCGATTTCACGTTCTTAACCTTTTCGGTTTAACTTTTCGGTTTAACTTTTCGGTTTAACCTATTCGGTTTCACGTTAACTATTTCCCACAAGCCCTTGTACAACAACTCTGGGCGGCACCTGCAAGGCCTTGAAGCCATGGGCGGGGAGCCGGCTGCTCCCCGTGCAGAACTGCAGCAGTCGCGCCTTCTCGTCCTCGGAAAACGCCTCCACCACCTCCCAAAACCACTGCAGAATCGCAACAACCAACGGTAAGGCAAGGCAAGACGCGATAGGCACAAGCAAGGCGAAGGACCAAGGGTAGGAATGACACACACACCGCAAAAAGCGGAACACAATGCAAGGAGGCGTTTGCGCAGAGCGGATGCGGGGACGGCTGCCGAGGGACTGACTCTCTTCCTTGAAACCACTGGGTCAACTACTAGCAACTACAAGCGGGCTTGGGGGGGTGTCACTGCTGTCGGCTGGGAATCATCTCCAGCACAAGCCTGTTCTCATCGCAGCACGCAGCAGAAGGGTATATACATACTGGTGGGGAAACAGAGTAAGGATCACGGATGGCGAGTAGGACGTCAGGGGTGAACGCTCCATGAGCGTGATGATTGGGCGTGTTATTTTACGTAGCGATACAACTTTTCCGTTCCAGGGGCATCAGAGATAGGCACCGCCTGTGATAGTAGATGCGTGAGGGGGAAACCGTCGGCACGTCGTATGTTTCGAGACGAGTAGTCAGACGATTTAGCGACGTCTTCATGATTGCGCAGAGCATGGAACGACGAATGAACAACAACGTGGGGGAGGGGGGGGGAGGGCTCCGGCGTTGCGAGGCGAGGTGTGCGCCGCGCCGCGTCCGAGCATTTTCCAACGACCTTTCCGTCGAAACAAAAAACGGCCACTGGAACACCGCAAAGCAGCCCGGGCAGCAAAAACCGAGCACGTGACGGGTCCCTCAAAGCATACGTACAAAGCATAGGTAGGTGGGTACCTTGATGACAACGTGATTCTCTCCTGCCCTTCTGTAGTCCCCGAGGTAGCGAGAACACCGCTTCCATTCCGACACGTCGATCTCCGGAATACCGCACAACAGCAACTCCAGCTCCTGCGGTATGTACCAGGGAAGGAAAACGTTGGTCAGGGTTATAGCGTCCAAGTATCAAGGAAGCACAAACAGGAGAGGGACAGGGGGGGGGTGTACTCATAGTCGTGCATGCCGTAGTCGTTAGACCATTGACCTCGCATCCCTACAAAGCCGGGACGGAGCACGCCGGGTTCTCACCGGACCAGGCTCTCACATCACCAAGCGCGAAGCGCCGTGAGATATTCGGCGAGTCGCATGAAGGGTGCGCTGCATCCTGCTAAGGGTGTTCGGCATCTTGTGCTTACTTCCTTGCGTACGGATGACAGCTGCGTATGAATTAATTTATTTTCTGGTGCTTTCACTTCCAGAGACAGTTGTAAGCACTGTGTAACTGCCTCGAGGGTGCTTGACCATTTTAACACAACGTGGTGCGATCATCCCCCTTGCGCGGAGTGAGGGTTCTCCACCCCGCACAACATGATCTACTCGACCACCATTATGGTTACCGCCAAAAAAAAACAGAGGTAAAAAAAAAAAGGTAACCAGGTTGCCGAGTTCACGAAGTGAATTGGCTTGTTTTACAACGTCGTTGCCAAGCGACGAAAACCCAATCCCGATGGTAAACACCGAGGGGGGAGGGCTTGTTTTACAACGTCGTTGCCAAGCGACGGAAACCCAACCCCGATGGAAAACGCCGGGGGGGGGAGAGACAGGGGGGGGGGCATGTTTGAACGACTGTGGTTGCTCGACGAACATGGCTGCTCATATACATGACATGACCAACGTATCTGCCAGAGTTAGGCGTGCTGGTTGGGGAGGCAGCAATGGTGGGCGTATCGTGCCATCTATCCACCTATGAATATTACAAATATGGGTGATGGGTGATTGACGGTAAGCGTTCGATACCCTCCGGCTCAACACACCCACGCCATACCTTCAACGACAAGAAAATGCGAAAGGTGATAGAAACTGAAGACCTCGCGCACTTCCGCCTGTTTGAGATTAGTGCTTTGGTGACGACAAGGACAAGTGAGGCCCACGCGCAGTCGGCTGGCTATGAACCTAACCACACCCACCCTCCCCACCTGGTAGTCGAAGACCGAGATGAGGTGCGAGGGGATCACATCGTACATCCCTCGCATCAGGTGCCACAGCTGGCTGTGAGTGCCGTCCAGCACCCGGTGCTTGAGTCGGAGCTGCTCCCACACAAGGAAGAAAACAAGAAATTGCACGTGCGCGCACACACGTCGCCATCGCGTCAACCAAAGTCGGTTGAGAGCGGCCGCAGGATGTACGCGTGTACGAACGGTTACAGTTGGGTTCGAGCAAAATGACCAGGTCGAGTTGCTGACAGGACAATCTGCGCTTCGTTTACCAAACTCAAGGGAACAACTACACGTACTTGCTATCTTGCATGTTGGCTTGAACGAATAGCTCAAAGCACCTCGCTTGTTCGTCGGTCGGTGGAACGTTCCCCTGCCCCCCTGAAGGCTATCCTGCCTTGACGCGAAACTACGTAGATGCGACACTACGTTTGCAATCCTCCCCGGCCAACTTTACCACCACCACCACGACCACCGGCAGCCTCACCCTCAGGTATTCCTCCTTGTTGCCGTCGGTGACGGTTATGTCTTTTCCTCCAGGCAAGAGCTCCGCCACCTCCTTCACCCCGAAGCTCTCTAGCGTCACCGTGAAGTCTAGACCCAGAGACTCCGCCCCGGAGTTGGCTCTGACGACACAAGCAAATGGGTTAGGTAGTTCGAGTTAGGGGAGAGGTTGGGGGGAGGGGTTGTATGTTGCTTGCTTGTACAATGTCCATGGTGCTTACTTCGGCACGACCAATCCCCAACCAACCGAACCCTGGGATGGTGATGTTGTCAGTCTGACGGGTCTTAAGACTGGCCACAGAGAGCTGCATAGGACTCAAACATCCGGAGGGTTTACCGACTCATCACAAAAGGAGCGACTAAAGGTAGGATGTCTCCCTGAATGGAGGTAATACTTGGCGACTTTCGAACGGAGACCATTCGGGTTTCTACAGCAGTACCAAAATAACGGTTGGCGAGGCCTTCTGAATCGATTGCTCGGTGGAACTTCTGCCAGCCTGAAGACTACCGACAGGCCAAGGCTGCCTTCCCTACCGTAACTTCACCTGCACCCCTTGTATGTGCCGAGGGTGAAACTATTGGAGAGAAGGGTTGACTCTTGATGCCACTCCCTGGTTGAGGGATAGAACGCTTGCACTTCTTTCTCGGCAGATGCGTTCAGCAACAGCACACGTACATCCAACCTACCGTCACGAGGGTCGCTACGCACTAACCTGAGCCACTGGAGGTTCCGGTAAAGCTCAGCGTCGGCAAACTCCAGGTCCGAGAACGCCACCGGCAGGCCGAGCATGTGCTTGAGAATGGGAAGCGACAGGTGGTACGGTGCCACGCTGTGCTCCATTAGGAGCTTGCCGAGCACCTGGCGGGCAGAAGCATGGTTATACCAATGGTCTTGGGGTTACGCCAGGCCGGCAAGTAAGGTGAACGGGTAGGACTACTCCACGTGGTGGTGGCAGCGGTTGAGCAAAAGAAAGTAGTCACCGGTATTCGTTCGGCTTCACAACCAACTCTTTCCGGTCACCTACTCTGTAGCTTGGTAGACCAATGTATGCATAGCTCTTGCAAAGAGAGAGGGAGGGCGGCAAGAAACAAACGGTCGCCGTGTGTGCGCGCGTCAACCGCGCCAAGTCTCAAGGACCACCAGGCATGGCGCTCTCATGATAGCGTTGGCGAATACTCGTGCTCACGCCGCAAGCTAGAAGCGTTCGGGTGCGCCAAAACTTGAGCCGGGGGAGCGGGGGAGTCAAACACCCCGAGACAGGATCGACGCCTCAATCGCCACAAACAAACGCCGCCAACACAGCAAGCGGCGCCCACGGCACACACCATCGCCACAACAACAGTCACCGCGACAAACCCAACCCCACGGCGGCGCAGCCGCCGCCGTTCTCACCCTTCCCGTGAAGCGGAAGTACTCCAGGTGCATCTCGTTCGCCACCCCGCTAGAGGGGTTTATCGCGAAGGCCCCGTTGCCGGGCTGGGGAGTGAACAGGCCCGTCGAGGGGTCGAAGAGGGCGCTGCACACGAGCATGAACCACTCCCGCTCCAGACCGCCGGCGTCAACACCTGGCTCGCCTACGAACTGTACCTGCCGGTGTCGAGAACGACGAAAGAAACAAAGAAGTGGGGGGGGGG